GTGTTTAGACTCAATACTTTCTATTTAATGGGTTTAAATTCATCAATAATGGTTTAAATTCATATGATATGTGACTTACGAGTTTTTAGCATAAAATGTAAGATGCTTGGAGTAATTTTTTTATATTTGAGTAGTCAACGTAATGAACTTTTAATCCAACCTTCAAATGAGCGGACTGTATACTCAGAGTATATTGCCACGATCTTTAAGCATCCTAAAGTGCATCTCAGATAAAATGTGACCTACAAATTCTTACCAAAACAGAAGGGTTCTTCCGAGTAATTTTTGGAAAAAATAGAATAGCCCATAACCAGACCAATTCAACTTGAAATTTCTAACAATACCTACTAACCATATGGTCACTCAATTCAAACGCCAACTAACCAATGATCTCACCAACAGCGCCAGATCATATTGGGGTTGGTTCATCATCAATATTTGTTTGTTTCCATGGCGTTCGTACGTTGTTTAAAAAGTCCAAACATACTTTCTAACACCCAACCACAACTTCACCGTTTTCGAACTGGGTTTCAATGCATAGTTATGTCATCCTTTGCCGTGAAAATTTTGGATCAGTTCAATCCTAGCCTAGATGGACAATCTTTATTATCTAGTCACTTGTCATTCTTATTATGCTCACACCAATCCAGAATGAGTATATTACTAATTACATCCATGAACGTTTTAATTTTTTGCAATCAAAATTAATATACTTTGACAATTAATTAGATAAACTTGACATTAGGTATTTGTACAAATATAATTATACTTGTATTAGGTCTATTATATTTTATAAAACATTTTAGAATATCGTTTCACCTAATTAATATAACATATTATCTCCGTCCCAAACAAAACTCCTAATTACTATTCACAAGCCATTCTAGTTTCTTTATACATTTTTATTGATATTTGATAAAATAAAATAAATTCTCACCACTTGTTTTTCAAAATGTTTTTATGTGAGTTTATTATATAATTTTTATTTTTTAATTCTACACTCATTTTGACTTATATTAATTTGAAAGTAACTTCAGTCAAACATCACAAATCAAACAAAAGTCTTATATCAAGATGAAGAGAGTATTATTTTACTTTAATTATATATAGGTCATAGGTTGACCCTGATCGATTACAAAAATTCAAAAGTAAACAAATACTTGGAGAGTGATGTAGTACATAATAATCTTTCAAAAAAATGTAGTACATAATAAGGTTACTTATATTTTTCTCAAGATTTGATTATGTTTTTTCTTCATCACTGGTGACCGAGTATTTAGGATCCAAAAAAAGTAATTAATGTTTAAAAACTCCCATGATCTCAAATTTTTCAACATTTTAATTTTTGTTGATTTAGAAAATGTTCTTTAGGACTAGGAAAAAAAACTAGATGTTAGAAGAAACTGGAAAAACTTGAAATAATGAGAGAAATAACAAGAAATTAACTGAAAGAAACAGAAAAAAATTGTAAAAATTTGGAAGAAATAAGAAAACATTTCAAAAAAAATTTTATGTAAATTTTACTTAGTTATCTTATTTTAATTTAAAGAGTTGTTGTTGTTGTTCTAAAAATAATAATTATTAATTATTATTATTATTATTTATTATATTAATATTTTTCCCATGTTAATTATTATTATTATTATTCTTTTTTATTATTATTATATCTTTAAATTTAAGATATTGATATATTTCCCATGTTAATTTTGATTAATAAAATATTCATAATTTTTAGAACATAATTTAGGGTCATATAAATTAAAAAAGAACAATTTTCCAAATAAAATTGTAATACTCCGTATGTTTTATTCATATTAAAAATAGAAGAAAAAATGATAATGAGTGTGAATCACAAAAGGGTGACATGAAAAAAATTGAAATAATTTATAAACTATAGTTATACTAATAATAATAATAATAATAATAATAATAATAATAATAATAATACTAATGATAATAATAATTCATGAAAACCTATTATTCTTTGAGTCATTATTTGGTACCGAAAAAAGACTAAAAAATGGAAATAGTTGGGAAAACTGGAAGAAATTGGGAAAATTAGAGGAAACTGGAAAAAACTACACGGGTTTGGAAGAAACTAGAAAGAACTGAAAAATACTAAATTACAAAAAATTAGAAGAAACTATAAGTTACGAGTTTAAGTTCTATAGAAAAGTCTATAGTTGGTGTTTCTTTGTGCTTATAAGTTGGTCAAAACTGCTTATAAGTTATTTTTAACTTATAAGTTCACTAATCATGATAACGTGTTCCTCTGTGTTTATACGCTGCTTATAAGCGAGAAAAACTTAAGTATGCCTTACCTACTTATTTATAGGCCAGTTTCTTCATTTCTTCATTTTGACAAGATTACTTACAAAACTATGTTTCACATGTTATGATCAAATATCCCCAAATGATTTATATATTATTTAATTTATTTGATCTACATGAAAGAATTTTTTTATTTATAAGCAGTTTATAAGTTAAAAATTGATAATAAATAATAAGTCAATAAGAAACAGCACGAATATACATCCATATTGGGCTTCAACTCCTTTATATTTTTATCTTTTTCATTTTTTGTTAAAATAGAAAGATTAATTGAGTGGGATCGTGAGAGTCTATTTGGTACACGTAATTCAGGTCATGGAATTGAAAATAGAAACTTTAATACTAATTTTTTTCTTTGATGGTACAAAAATATACTCCGTATGAATTTGAAATTGAATTCTAATTCCAATTTTTCAATATCAAAATTTAAAAAATTTGTGAGTTTAATAGTACAAAAATATGTGAATCTGAATTTTAGAATAGTAATACAATTATACATATAAAGTATAGTTTTTTGTTACCAAACAAAGGATTGAAATTATATCTTGATTCTATATTAATTTTTGAATATACTGATCTGAACAAAATAATTTGTAAATGATTTAGAATTCAATTGTATTCAGTTTAACTTCTTTGAAATTTTAATTTTAATTTAATTCCCTCAAATTGCTTCTGTAACCAAATTTTGTGAATTTTGCTAGTACCCGAGTGACTGAGTGAGTACCTAAGCTTCGTCTCATCACAACGCACATTTGTCACAAAAAGACAGTCCACATTTGTCACACAGCCACTTACTGTTCATTAATTGTTGCGCCTGCGAACGTAAATTGCATTAAGTGCGGCTGAAATGAACGCCCAAAGTATCAGATGCAAAGATGAGTTATACACCCTCCTTCCAAAAATTTCTTTTACGGTTTAATTTCCAAAAATTTCTTTTACGGTTTAATTTACACAAAAATTAAGAGAGTTAAAAAATATAAAGATTTTTCATGTGTTGTTTTTGATGTGATGGAATAACATAAATGGTGTAGAGAAAAAATAAGAATATAATGACATACTCCGTATTCATTAAAGATTTCTACCAAATTAGAAAACGAAAAATAAAGTTTTGGACAGTTTAAAAAAAAGAGAAAGAAATTATTGGGGAAGAAAGTTAACTTATTCGGCCGCAACCGGCGGTGAAGGAGCTTGCATCACTGTTTTGACGGCTACTATTTAATTAATAACCAACACGTACTACCAACATCTTTTTACACAATTTCACCCACAAAATATTTAGGTTAATTTATTTTTGGGTGTAATAGTATATACTCCATCCGTTTTTTACTTTGGGAAAAAATAAGGAAAGTGTAATTTTAGTTGACTTTCCAATTTTGCCCCTGATGTGATGGGTAAAAGTAAGATTTGATTGTTTAGTTATTAATGAAAAAGTATGATGTGATAGGTAGGGTATGAAAAAGTAGGGGTAAAAGTGATTTTTAATAGAAAAGGGAAGTGTTTTAAAAAAAACAAAAAAATGAAAGAGGAAGCATTTCAAGAAACGGAGGGAGTATGTGATATACGAAAAAAATAACAATTTTAATTGGAACGGAAGGAGTATCTATGTGATATACGAAAAAAACGTACATAGAAAAGTAAATCAACAAAACTGATCTGCCAATTAAAGCTATGTTACCTTAACTTGTAAACATTTTAAATCATATTATAAATTTTAAAAACCCTAGGAACATAAATACCAATATATAATATTTCTAATATGGATTTATATTAACATTAAAAATTGAAAAGATAGTTTACATATTTACAATAAAATGTTTGATACGGAGTATTATAATGAAAACTCCATATTTTATAAATCGATTTTTGGTTTTAGATAAAAATTGAACGGAAAAAACTGAACTCGGCTCTACATACTTTTATTGCTTCATCGAGTTGGTACAAGTTTTGTAATGCGTACTTACGAGGTAAAACTCCATATTTTTAAAATTAATTTATTTTAAAATTAGAATAAGAATACTTAATAAAGTTTACATATCCTTTAAAAAATTACATATTAAAAATTTATGACTAGAGTTTTACTTCCGCCGTCCCTCCAGATTCTTTGTGGTTCGCGTTACGATGTTTGACAGAAGTTATTTTAAATTTATCTTATGTTACAATTGGTATGATATTAAAAAATAAAAATTATATTTTTTAGAAACTACACCAAAATCTATTCAAAACTAGATATGACGTAAATATATTATTTTATCAAATTGGTAACGAAAATAAGAAAATAAAGTACGTAAAGTTTAACTATGTGAATAATATCGTGGATGAACCTGAAGGGATCGGACGATGTAAGTACAAAAATGAAAGTAACAATTAAGAATATTTTATTTTATCAAATAATCAATGAAAATAAACAAATAAATAAAAATAATTATTACTCATAATAAATATGTCAAAAAAGTTGTAATCAATTTGGGAAGGGAGCTAGTATGAGACAACTTCAAAGGTGGTTGAATTTAACTTAAAATGTCAAATTAGATGAATAGAGAGAGGGAGTATATATATTTACACAACTATACAAGTATATATATATATATATATATATATATATATATATATATATATATATATTCTGATCTCAAACTTGGAGTTAAACATTCCATACTCATTCATATCCGCGAATTTTTTTTCACTTCCACTCCAAATGGAGAACCACCACCAAGGAGGATTTTCCGGCAGCGGTGGCGGCAAGAAACCGGAGGAGGAGAAAGAGGTGAAGAAATCAGTGCCAATGGTGAGGCTGTTCTGGTTTGCGGACGGTTGGGACTGGGTTCTGATGGCGGCGGGATGGGTTGGGGCCTGTGTGCATGGCGCCTCTGTGCCCGTCTTCTTCATCTTCTTCGCCAAAATTATTGAAGTTATTGGGGAGGCTTTTCTTTTCCCCGCTGAAGCTTCTCATAAAGTTGCTAAGGTTTGCCCAAATTAGTACTCTATCTAATACTTTTGTCTCATAATATTTGTCTAATTTTAGTATTTTAATGCTAATCATTATTGATATTTGACTTATAACTAAATAAAAATTATATGAAATATCAATTGTATAAAAAAATACTCCGTACTTTGAAAACATTTTACAAGATAAATATAATAAAATTATTTTTGTATCAATATCTAACTCTCTTCATCCCAAAAAATATGAGAGGTTTTGTTTTTTTAAGAGATTTAAAGAGAGTGTATTTCAGGAATGTGATGGGTAAAAATAGAATTTGATTATTATGATGTGATATGATAAGTATGTTAAGAATAAATATGGGTAAAAGTGATTTTTTAATAGAAATGAGAAAATTTTTTTAGAACGGATGAAAAAAAGAAAGGAGAAATGCTTTTAGGCAAAGAGGAAGTAGTAACTAATAATATTATCTCCGTCCCAGAGTATTTGTCAACTTTTGACTTTTTTAATCAAAATTGGTAAACTTTGACCCCAAATTAAATAAGAATGATACTCCCTGAAAACCTTTCTCCTTTTTTTTTCATCCGTCCCAAAAAACACTTCTCATTTCTATTAAAAAGTCACTTTTACCCTTTACTTTTTCATACCCTACCTATCACATCATACTTTTTTACTAATAATATATCCATCAAATCATGCTTTACCCATCACATCAAAGGACATTTTTGAAAATTCAATACCAAAATACACTCCCCTTAAATCCATCTTTAAAATCAAAACTCCCATGTTTTTCGGGACGGAGGGAGTATTAGATATTGATACAAAAATAGTTTTATTAGATTTATTATACTCCGTATTAAATATTTTCAAAATATTATGTCTAATGTTGAAAACGGTTAACTGAAAAAGTCAAAACTGGACAAATAGTGTGGGATGGAGATAGTAATAAATTACGATTCTTTTTATCTTAAAAAAATATGACGCGAGCTCATATAGTACTTCGTTTGTAAAATTCGTAATTTTTTCATCTCTAACCTTCCTTCTAATCTCCCACCCAACCCCACTCTTTGCCGCCATTATATGAAAGGGGCAGTAGGGCAGGGCAAGGAGGGGATCAGTTAGAAGTAGAAACTATTAATATCAACGAAGCACCGTAAGTTCTCCAAAATGCCTTAATAATAATAATAATAATAATAGTGATAATAATAATAATAATAATAATAATAATCATCATCATCATCATAATGGTAATAATAAGAACAACAATCACAACAATAACCATAACAATAATAATAATAATGATAATAATAATAATAATAATAATAATAACAACAACAACAAATACAGCACTCGGTTCATACAATTAGATCAAGATCACAAGCATCTTTATATCATTTTCTTAAATGTGAAGTAGCTATTTAAATAGATTTAGGCTTATTTTGGTTGAAAGAGCTATGCAATGGTTTAGAAAAATCATGTTAATCAATTTGTGCCTGAATATAATATAATAATTGTGGTTTACCCTAAAAAACTGTGGTTCAAATAGTTAAAATAGACTTAAGCTTAATTATTTTGGTTGAATAAAACAATTGTGCGTGGTTTAGATAGTTAAAATAGACATAAGTTTATTTTGGTTGAATAAATTAATTGTGCGTGGTTCAAATAGTTATAAAATAGACCTAAGCTTATTTTGGTTGAATAAAATAATTGTGGTTCAAAGAGTTAAAATAGACCTAAGCTTATTTTGGCTGAATAAAATAATTGTGGTTCAAATAGTTAAAATAGACCTGAGCTTATTTTGGTTGGATGAAATAATTGTGGTTCAAATAGTTAAAATAGACCTAAGTTTATGTTGGTTGAATGTGTTGGGATTGCACGTACCCTCACCCCAACCCCGCATTAGTATGATATTGTTCGCTCTGGGCCAAGCCCTCACGGATTTGTTTTTGGGCACCTCCCAAAAGGCCTCATACCAATGGGGTTGGGTGAACCTATATATTTTGATCTATTTTTACTTCTACCTCCGGTGTGTGACTTGGAGGAATCCCAACAGAATGAATAATTGTGATTCAAATAGTTAAAATAGACCTAAGTTTATTTTGGTTGAATAAAATATTGCGGTTCGAAGAGTTAGTTGACCCTATACATTTATGTTTTAAAAAAGTGAAATTTGTATTGAATAAGACTAAAACAAAAATCATTTTCCAATGTAGCACTTAAACTTTGACGAGATTCATTTGGTGATAATTAATTAAGCTTCATTTTTTTAATTGCAGTACTCTTTGGATTTTGTTTACTTAAGTGCGGTCATTCTTTTTTCCTCATGGACTGGTATGCATTTCTTTTCTCTATGCAAAATTATACGTGTAATAAAAAAGAAGAAGGGAGAAATAGCATTAAAGTATGAGTTTAAAGAAAAATCAACTAAAGGTTGAAGTTCTTTGTTACAATAGATCTTTCTTTCTTTTTACGGAGTATTTGATTTTCACTCTTTTCAATGTAACGCTTTAATCATTAATATCTTTATGTATATAAATATAGATTATGATCGGAAATATGAAATTTCAAAACTATAATTTAGATAGAACCAATTGATATGATATTAAACTTATATAACGATTTATATATTTTTTGGTAATTGTGGTCAAATTTAAAAAAATATTGACCACAAAAATCAAAATGAGAAGAAACATATGAGGGAAGGGAGTATAATCTAACATACCTCTAATTTATAAGAAAAAATTATTTTTATTTGAACTTGTGATCACTTGGTCAACCGTAATAAGCACATATCATATAACATGCTCTATAACCGAAATCGGAACTTGAATTGGAAATGCATTTCATAAAGGAAAATTGAATACTTGGGAAGAACAAAGTATAGAAGTTAATAAGTTGTGTTAAAAAAAATATAGACGTTAAATTATTAGTTTTTTATTTTATTTTATAAAAAAATTGAACATGTTATGTATGTATTGATGGAAAAATGTAATAATAATAATAAAAAGAGGTGGCATGTTGGATGCACACGGGAGAAAGGCAAGCGGGGAAGATGAGAATGGCATATTTGAGGAGTATGCTGAATCAAGAGATCAGTGTTTTTGACACTACTGAAGCTTCCACTGGAAAAGTCATTTCTGCCATTACCACTGAAATTATTGTGGTTCAAGATGCCATCTCCCAAAAAGTACGTACCCTACCTACTCCCATCCCTTCTTTAGGATAATTGTGTCTTGCATAAATTTTTAATAAATAATTCTTGAGAGTCTATTTGGTGTATGTAATTGCCAGAATGGAAATTTAATTGAGAGTTAAAATTTTATGAAATTGATTTAGATGGAATGTAATTCTCCTATTCGATCCAATTCACTTTTGACACCACCAATATAATTCTAAATCCATATATTCTTGTGCTACCAAATAGCAAAATCAGAATTGTTATCTCCAATTTTAATTTCATATTTTGAATTTTGAGTGCCAAACAGAGCCTGAGTTTTTTATGTTTAGTGCATATTTCAATTTTAAAATATTATATAAATTATTGTCAATTTTTAAAAATTATTTCATAAATAGTCATTCAAGCTAATAAATATGTCAAAACATTATTACATATGATTTTAAATGACCAATTATTAAATAGTTTTCAAAAACTGAAAATTATTTATATAATATCTTATAATTATGGATTAAATATAGAAAATTATCTATAATTAGAGACCATTTATTAAAGTTACGTTTGTAACAATAAACAAATAAAGCAACTCTATGTGACCATGCTACCTTATGCCACATCAAAAGTTTAGACCCGCAAACTTTTTAAATCTACTTCTATAACAAAATACTTACATCATCAATTTAAACAAAAATACGTATTTGATTATAAAAAAAATAAGTATTAAATTAAAAAAGTTTGTTGAAATATATTTTTTTCTTAAATTATATGCAGTATTAATCAATATAGTACGGAATATATAGATATTTAATCATAAAAAAAGATTAAACAAGAGAGTTAGGACTAGTGGGGACCACCATCACCCCAAAAACTAACTTTGAAAAACTACCGTTACAAAAAAACCAAGTCAACCCATTGTATTTGTAGTGATGTTAGTTTAAAGTTGGGTCGTTTAAACCTAAAAAAATCACAATTACAACTACCCTTAGTCATCTCTATATAGTACGGACTACGGAGTATATACTATGCTCTAGAATTCTTCTACTCTTTCTCTCCTCCTAAGAATTTGAACTAATATGACAGTGTATTTTGTTTAAAGTTAACATGTACTCCCATAAAACATTTCCTGTTTTAAAAAAGACGCACTCTTAAAATGAGTAATTTTAGTATTATTTTCTAATTTTGCCCTTACTTCTTAAAAGAGTAGGATGAGATATGTAGAATAGATTAGTCATAATTAAAAAATAACACTAAAATTACTCATTTTAAAGGCGTACCATTTTTTAAAGAGGAAATGTTTTATGGGACGGAGGGAGTGTTATTGCAATATAATGGCGTGCAATACCTTACCCACCTTTCGGGTCACACATGATGACCTGCTTTTCACGTACTTGAAATCTCAAATCTATATTGAGACCAATCATCCACCATTTTTAGCTAATGATACGCATTTAGAAGTTTGGAGAGGAAAAATTTACTTTATGCAAAGTTTGAAGGAAATGAAGTTAAAACCATAGTTTTCAGAACCGGACCAGTGACCGAACCAGTCAAGGTACTGGTTCACTGGTTTACTGGTCGAACCAGTGGTTCAACTAGTTGAGCCGGTGGTTTAAACATATTTAAAACTTATATATATATATATATATATATATATATATCTATCTGTGTGAGTGTATATGTATATGTATATGTATATATATACACATACATACATACATATAGACACACACACATTCTCATTTATAAATATCCAAAGAAAGTAATTTATAACATTTAAGTAGTATTATATTAATATACTTGAGTTATTTTATAAAATTAAAAAATAAAATTTACATATTAAAAAATATAAAAGAATTTTAAATGAAGAGTTGATTTTATTTTTTTCAAATAAGTTGTTTAATATTAAAAAAACGAAATCTTTGCATGATTTGCATTTTGTAATAGTATCAATAATATCAATGATTTTGTGTTTGACTCATAACTATATAATATTATATTTATAAAATTGAAAAGGAATTTATATACAATCTTTTTTGTAATTATGAAATATTATAAAAGATTATGTGAACTTATAACAAAAAGCATCATTGCTTAGATGGTTAGGAGCTTAACCAAATGTCTAAAAAGTCTTGGGTTCAAACCCCCATTGAGGCATGTTTTGGAAAAAATCGGCAAAAAAAAGGGTGGACCGGTCGGATCGGCCGGTTCTTACTGGTTCGGGACGGTTCGAAGCATGTTACGGTCCAATGGGCCGGATCGGACCATTGATGAATTGATTTGTTATTAGTTTATATGGATCATTGGTTTGGGTTTATATGGATCATTGATGAATTGATTTGTTATTAGTTTATTTTTTTTAAATAAAAAGTAGCTACTTATATATTTATTTCTTTTTTGACAACAAATTGACTTCCGGAGTATATTGAAAGAAGCATTCGACATGTACCATGTAGAAATGGTCCCTAGTTATCTTTAAAAATTGAGGCAAGCAATATGAGTTTGATTTTCCATTTTAGGGAGAAACAAAAAACGCCCCGTAGTAGCTTTAATGATTGGCAATGATAAATCTAGTAATCTCACTGTTGGGTAGCTGGAGACTGGAGTCCGCCTTGATGGTGAATAATAGTCCTGTTTATTACTCTCCCAACAATATCCAAAATTTAATGGGTATCAAAATTATTATAATTAAAAATTGGTATAGAAAAAAGTTAGGATCTATCACAAGAATATTTTAATGTATCAAATAATCTACTCCCCCAATCTTAAATTTGTTTTAATCATTTTTTGTCAAACAATGACATATTTTAATCAGGAATTGTGAAAAAAATATTGAACTATAATATATATTTAATATAATTAGGTTGATCTTAGGATATAATTTTCATATGTCAACTTTTTATAACATTTAATTATTTATATTATATTTAATTTATGGTCAAAGATTGTCACTGTTTGACTAAAAAAAGTCATAATAAAAAGAGTTTTAGAAGCGGATCGAGTATATGAATATGTAGACAAACAAAATTATTAAAGAAGTGTAATATTTCTTCCGTCCGACTTGAATACTTACGTACACTATTTACACGGTCAAATTTTAAATATTTTGTTTCTCTATTTTCATTACTCATTTGATAAAATAGTACAGTCATGTCACCTCTAGTTTTATAGATCTTTTGATGTAATAACGTGTTAATATATATTTTTATTTTTTAATTTTATATATATTTATAATCAAATAAATTGAATTGAAAATGAAATTGATAAAAATAACGTAACACGAACGGGAAAGATTCAAATGGAACAAAAGAAGTATATATATGTAGGAGTAAATTCTATAATTGGTCCTTTATAACATGGGGGTTTCCCTATTTAGTTCTCTATTATCAAATACTCCGTATTATCCCAGTGGTCCTTCTTTTATGAGTAACTTTCCACAAATAGTCCCTTTTTTGATCTTCTATCATGTTGGTGTTAATTTGAGGGCTAAAAGTATAATTTCACAATGATAATATATCTTTTTTGTCATACACAATTCCAAAGGCTGTTCCGTTTGTGTCGTTTGTGAATTACAGTCGCTTTTTACGACAACGATAGTCTACAAATGTGATCTTTCATCAGAATCCTAGCCCACAATCATAGTCATTATTTTTGTGTTATCCGCTTAACCAATATCAGAACACATCACTAGATATAATGTTGATGTCAAATTATACTTTTAGCCTTTAAATTAACACCAACACTGCAGAAGATCAAAAAAAGGACCATTTGTAGAAAGATATTTTTAAAAAAAGGACTACGAGGGTAATATTTGATAATAAAGGACTAAATATGGAAACTCCCATGTTATAAAGGACCAATTATGGAATTTACTCTATATGTAGAGATCATTAAATAAACTGATTTAATACATGCACATGCAACAAATGGAATCAAACCAAATTACAGCATGAGAAACAAATTAGATCGAGTAGGCACATTATCACACATGCATTCTTTTAGCTTGAAGATTTTTGAGAAGTACAAGAAATTAAAAATTGAGATGAGAAGATAATCAGGGAACAAAGAAAGGAGAGAGGAATTAGGGTTTATGATTAATTTATATATATATATATATATATATATATATATATATATATATATATATATATATATATATTGGTTCTGGTGAGAATGCAATCTTAGGAGAGAAATGAGAATGAATCGGGTGCTTTAGATTGTGAGATCAAAGGGTCAAGATTTCATCAAAATTAGATGCACCAAAATGGTTCGAAAATGCATCACGTTGAAATGCACCATAAACCTTCGAAAATGCACTATCTCAAAATCTGAGCGCAGGATGCAATCTGAGCCGCACGATGTATCAGATCCGACGGCTAGATTTTATTCTCATTTCTCTCCACAAGGTGCATTCTTACAGGAACTGGCCCCTATATATATATATATATATATATATATATATATATATATATATATATAGGGGCTGGTTTATGTGAAAATGCACCTTGGTGAAAGAAATAAGAATAAAATCTAGCCTTTGGATCGGATGCATCGTATCCTGCACTCAGATTTTGAGATAGTGCATTTTCAAAAGATTTTGATGCATTTCGACATGATGCATTTTTAACCCATTATGGTGCACCTAATTTTGATGCAATCTTGACCCTTAGATCTCACAATCTAAAGCACCAGATTCATTCTTATTTCTTTCATAAGATCACATTCTCAATTGAACCAATATATATATATATATATATATATATATATATATATATATATATATATATATATATATATATATATATATATACTTCTAATTAATTTATTACCCCTTACATGAATATACATACATATACTCCGTATTTCATAACTATACCTGTCCTAGATTAATTTTTTCACTTTATAGTTAATGTTCAAATTTTTTAAGTATTTTCATTAATCATTTATTAAAATAATAATACATCTTATTTTATAGAAAAATTAATGTGATTTTTTAATATTTAGTTCATTCGTTCCATAAAAAGCTTAACATTTTTTGTTTGTTTCAAAAAAGAAAGTTTCACTTCACGGCCCACTAATTTTACTCTCCCCTGTACAACTTTCAACAACACACTTTATTTTTCTTAACTTATGTGTTAAGTCAAATATGAAGCCTTTATATAGAAGGAGGATGTAAACTTTAATTTATTAAAACTTTATACCATTATTCAAATAATTTGAATTGAAAAAACCTTAGTCAACCATCGTAATCCATAACTAGCATCACTCCCGTGCGTTGCACGGATCATACTTATATTACTAAATTAAGATCATTTTTGAAGGATATAATTTCTTATCTAATATTCTCTTCGTCCCTGAAACATCTTCCCCTTTCATTTTTTCTTTGTCCCACAAATTCCTTCCTTTTTATATTAAAAAATTACTTTTACCCCTTACTTTTTCATACCTTACCTATCACATCATATCTTTTTACTAATAATCTATCTATCATATCTTACTTTTATCAATCACATCAAGGGTATTTTTGGAAAGTTAACACCAAATATCCCTTTCTTAATTTTCCAAAAAAATCAATAAGGGAACTTCTTTTGAGACGGAGGGAGTAGAATATAAAGATTTTATTATTTTAAGGTACAAAAGTTAAGTGTTTTACAAATAACGAAAGACTTCTTTAGAAACTATATTACTCGTAGTAATTTTTATATATCAAACTTTTAAAACACTTATTTATTTAAAGACTTCTTCATGATTTTCTACATTACTCGTATAATTTTTATATATCAAACTTTTTATATATTAAACTTTTAAAAAATTTATTTATTTAAAGACTTCTTTAGTGATTGAGAATGACTGCATTTAAAGTATGAAAAAATTAAAGTATTTTTCTATTTCCATGCATCTAATTTNGTAAGTTATTAATCAATGGTTGATTGTTCAACATATAAAGGTATATATTATTCAATACGTTTCCATGTATTAAAGGCACACCTCTTAAAAAGATGTCTCCATAAAACATTTGGGCCTGAATCTCTAAATGGAAACATTATTAAATTGAAAGCTTATTGGTTAGAATTATTACACGATAATAATAACTAAGTACGATAATATTATTACACGATATATTATTATTATTATTCTTTCACGACAATAAATTAATAATGGTTAAATACATTAATATTATTGCACGGTATATTTGTATTATTATTTTTTCTACACGGTAATAAATGATTTATTCTTGCTACAAAGTAATTTATGATTTAATAATTATTTCTATATTCAACACTTAACATATTTACATATGTGCCACCATTTCTATGTATTACTTTGACATTTTTTTATATTTAATTTCTTTTATTATTTTTTATTTTGATTTTTTAATTGTGCCTTCCTAATTAAATGCATAAACTTATATATTTAAATTTCTTTATAAAATATTTGGCACCGAATCTCTAAATGGAAACATAATTAAATTAAAAGCTTATTTTCTTAACATAATCACACCTTAATAAATTAATAATGATTAAATATGTTAATATTAAGTTTGGCCATGTTCTCTAAATGGAAATATTTTTAAATTGAAAGCTTCTTAGATTAGAATTATTAGACGATAATAATGACTAAGTACGATAATTTTATTACACAGTATATTATTATCATTCTTCTTACATGGTAATAAATTAATAATGATTAAATACGGTAATATTATTACACGATATATTAATATTATTATTCTTGTTACACGGTAATACATAATCTATTCTTATTACACGGTGATTTATGATTTAATTATCATTTATTTATTCAACACTTACTATATGTACCACCATTTCTATGTATTATTTTGACATTTCTTTTAGATTTGATCTCTTTTCGAAAAGGAAACGAATGGTTTGTATGATTAAAATGGTTTGTTTCTAAATTGGAAATTACATAAATTACGAAACTGTAAATTTAATGCATTGATTAAAAAATTTACAACTTAACGTGATTATTACCTTTTATGGACAAATATTATTTTTAGTTGAATGGTAATCATTTTTTTTATTATATCAATTAGAATTTAATAAAAAAGTTCGGTAGTAGAAAAGAAGTTTATGTAAATAATATTTTTATATTTTTGTTTCCTTTTTAGAAATATATTAGGCATGCAAAATTTTTTTTAATTTATCATTCTAAATAAGAATAGAGTATTTAATTAATTATGCATGCGGAATTATTCTAAAAAGGAAACAACGTAGATCTTGTTTGCAAAATTAGTCCCTTCCTTTTTTATCAGAATTAAGTAATTATGCATTCGAAATTTCTTTTAATTTATCATTCTATTATTCTTAAAAGTATTTTCTTTTAAGAATAGAGTGATTAAGTAAATAATTACCTATTTAATTAGGCATAAATAATTACTTTTTGATAATATAATCAAGCGTAAATTATCCCAAGTAATTATAATAATAATAGTAGTAATAATTAGGCATAAATAATTACCTATTTAAAAAAGAAACAAAATATAAAAAATCTCCTACACTGTTCCTTCTTTTTTATCACAATCAAGTAATTAGGCGAAATTGGTTAGGAAACAAATTACTCCCTTAGCTTCCTTTTTTATCAGAATAGAGTGATTATGCATGCAAAATTTCCTTTAATTTATCATTCTAAATAGGTAATATTACACAACCAATCATAGCCGGAGATCTTATTTGTTCTTTCATATCGACGACGGAGGAGATGAGTGCATTGGGCGGGAAAATAATTCCTCTACTTTTAAGAATAGAGTGGTTTTAGAAAACTTACCATTTTTACGCGTTTGTGCTTGTAAATTATAATATTTTTTAATGATAATTGATAAACAATTAATTTGTAGTTTGTTTGAAATAAATCATTTTAATCCTGCCCATACTTTCATAATTTGTAATTTTTAAATTTTATTTTAATATTTAAATGGCAGTGTATTTTATTTCCATACTTCAATTCCCCAATGGTTCACTATTATTTAATTTAATTTAATTTAAATGCTTAAATGGTGTAAGATATAAATAAAGATAAAAATAAAAACATACTTAAAATGGAAGGAAAACATTAAGGTAAAATAATTAAACTACCATTTATGTTGTCAACACTTTCCATATATGAGTATCATGCATGGGCGGGAAAAAATTCATGTCTTTTTAAATAATGTATAGATTAGAAACTTAATTTTGAATGAAGAAAATATATTCATTTATTTTTCAATGTCTCAAGAAAGATCCTAATGGTCACTTAAAAAGAAATAAAATAATTAAACCATATGTAAGTTTTCATCCAATTCTAGGGCCCATATGGCCATACACACCTAACTTAAGATGAGGCCGCTATAGTTCGCTTCCATTTAAATATTCATTGAGAACGGGCGGCGTAGACATACCCAAAAGATGATCCATAGTTTGTACTCTTAATTTTAGTTTTCTAGACGAAAGGTGATCGAATTGGTGGGTGATCGAAAGTATGATCCATAGTATGAATTTTGTTTGCAATAGATACTCTGTATTACTTTCTTAGTATCAATTGTGTTTTTAAGCATTTGACTTCTAGTTATAACATCATATTTTTTCAGAGTTAAAAAACAATAAATTTTTTTATAAATATTTGAGTAATGCTAGAGTCACAAACAAATAGTTTACAAAATTTACAAACTTACTCTTTTAACACTTTTCTAGAAATAAGATCCACTCAAATAATAAAAAATATTTTAATTTAAAATCTACAATAAGCAAGTTTGTGAAGTTTGTGACCTATATGTTTGTGACTCTAGCATTTTTCTAAATATTTGCTCTTTCAATTACGAGCTATATACTACTTTAAACAAATATGTAATAAACATAATTCTTGCTTAGTTGATGGATATTTTGACGATATAATTTCAATCCTAGTGGCGGTATAAAATTTTTGGCCAATTTTCACAAATAAAAAATGGTTTGACCTGTTCGAAGTGATTTGCAACTCAAAGCAGTCCAAGGGGCTTAACCAAGAGCGATTGGTTCAGATCATACTTCAAATTTTCTTGTTTTAAACAACCAACATTAGAGTATCTACATCCTTTCAAAAAACAATTTTTATTTTGACTTTTTACAAATTTATTAATTCGTTAAGAAGTACGGAGTATTACCTTTGTCACGATCCTCTTCTATATTGTAAAAACCAATGAAACATATACTCCAAACAGCTCCTTTCATTCAAATTTAAGATTGAAATATTATATTTTCTAAAAATAAGATTGAAATACTCCGTATTATACTCCGTATTTTCTAAAAAGAATACACCATTGATTATTAATCTTTTCCATTGAATCCATATTTTTTCATTACTCACCAAACAGCTCCTTTCATTCAAAATTTGTGCGCTAAATCTTTAACCCAGCGCACTAATACCGATTTAACGCAAGAGGGGGCAATGTTTAAGGGTGCTCTGGCATCAAGCGCCCGATGACGACCGGCAGCGTTAGAGGCATTTCCGGTGGTCTAAATGAGTGGAGGGAGGGAGAACTGTATGTGTCCCTGCAAAATTCAGCGGCCATTTCCGGCAACTGATAAAAAAAATGGATTGGGTGTTTTCAGGTGGGGAATTTCTTGCACTACATGAGCAGGTTCATAGCCGGATTCACAATAGGGTTCATAAGGCTGTGGCAAATCAGCCTCGTCACCCTCTCCATTGTCCCACTCATAGCCCTCGCCGGCGGTGTTTACGCCTTCGTCGTCACCGGCCTAATCGCCAGAGTTCGCAAATCTTACGTCAAAGCCGGTGAAATCGCCCAAGAGGTCTCTCTCACTCTCTTTCTCTCATATATATAATCACAACTAATATATACTCCTGCTGCTTTTATTAGCAACTTTATTTTTCAGCAACTAATTGAATCTGGTTTGGTCTCAAAAGATGTAGTTTGGTAGAAATATAGTTCTGCGAGCTTACTATTTCCACTAATTTTATACTGGCTATTTGATACCCACCTGACAATAAAGTATGGAGATCCAAAAGCAATCAAATTGTTAAGTTTGAATCAGATGTTTTCATGTCTCCACAGTCGCCGAAAGAATTAATCATTGGGAATATAACACAATGTTCCTCCCTGAAATGAGCAATCCTGTTACCCACAGGGTTTATTTAGTTTGCCCTTATTTGAGCTTTGCATTGACAGGTGGTTGCTAATGTCAGAACAGTGCAAGCATTTACGGGTGAAGAGAAGGCGGTGAAATCATACAGGGAAGCATTACTGAAGACATACAAATATGGGAAGAAGGCAGGACTGGCCAGAGGGCTTGGACTGGGCACCTTGCATTGTGTCCTATTCCTTTCTTGGTCATTGCTTGTGTGGTTCACTAGCATAGTTGTCCACAAGAACATCGGGAATGGAGGAGATTCTTTCACCACCATGCTTAATGTTGTTATTGCTGGCTTGTATGCATTTCTTTTCCTTATGTTCATCTATCTAAACTTCAATTTCAAGTTATTTTTCTGCATCCATTCTGTATGATGAGGTACTATAATTGCTGTTGCTTTTTGTAAGGTCACTGGGGCAGGCAGCGCCGGACGTTACAGCTTTTATCCGCGCAAAGGCTGCTGCTTATCCTATTTTTGAGATGATTGAGAGAAATGCAGCCAATAAAGCCGGCTCAAAAAGTGGAAAGAAACTGAACAAATTGGATGGACACATCCAATTCGTGGACGTCTCTTTTAGCTACCCATCTCGTCCTGATCTGTTGGTCTTTAACAAACTGTGTATTGATATTTCCCCTGGAAAGATTGTAGCATTGGTAGGAGGGAGCGGCTCGGGGAAGAGCACAGTTGTGTCTTTGATTGAACGCTTCTATGAGCCCAATTCCGGCCAGATATTACTGGACGGAACTGACAGCAGGGAGCTTGACCTCAAGTGGCTTAGACTGAAAATTGGGTTGGTTAATCAAGAGCCCGCCCTTTTTGCAACAACCATAAAGGAGAACATTCTCTATGGAAAAGATGATGCTACCCTTGAAGATATTACACAAGCTGCAAAACTCTCAGGGGCAATCACCTTCATCAACAACCTCCCTGATGGGTTCGAAACTCAGGTAATTTAAACGAACAAACTTTTCAACAAATTAATGCACCAATGACCACACATTATACATTTTGCAAAATGTAAAAGGAGCAAATCTCTTCTTTACATGCATATATGTTTCCAATTAGTATATTCTTCGATTTTATTCATTTGTAAGTTACTCAGTCATCATTTCCACATGGTGTTTGAGTAGTAGGTGACAGTTGAAAGGTATAGTCTCTTTTGTAAAAGTTGATTAATTTCTCACTATTTGATTTCAATTAGTACACTAAGAGCATCTTCAACGGACCATTCGTATTCTGTATTATGGGGGATTTGTGGCTGATATAGCTTATACCTTATCGTTTTTTTTTACTCCAATGGGACATCTAAAATATAAAAGATAAGCTATAATAGACTTCAGGACATGTATATATAAATGATAGTGTAGAAAGTGTATAACACGAAGCACGACAACAAGTTGTATAAATGATACGTGGGTATAAAGATTATATGGTTGGAGCTAATAGAAAAAATTGAGCATGTAAGTTACTCTAGATGGGTTAAAAACACTTATAGCTACCCACGTTTACATGCTATGGTTGAAGATGCTCTAAGATGACTAAATCAATGTTAACAGCTAAATTGAGCTTCGTAAGGTGTTAATATCATCTATCCATTTGTAGGTGGGTGAGAGAGGGGTGCAATTATCGGGCGGACAGAAGCAGAGAATTGCAATTTCTCGTGCAATTTTAAAAAATCCTTCAATACTTTTGTTAGATGAAGCTACAAGTGCACTTGATGCTGAGTCTGAAAAGAGTGTGCAAGAGGCCCTTGATCGTGTGATGGTGGGGCGGACCACTGTAATAGTTGCTCACCGTCTCTCGACTATTAGAAATGCTGACACCATTGCTGTTATCCAAAGTGGGAAAATTGTAGAAAGTGGAAGCCATGAGGAGCTCATCTTGAAACCAAATGGGGCATATGTATCTCTTGTTCACCTCCAAGAGGCAGCTTCTTTGTGTCTCCTTCCATCTCATGGGTCTAATATGGGACAACCTCTAAGGTATTAAAATTGAATTCTTCTGATAGTGTTTATGTTTATATAATAACATGTTTTTGTATAGATGTTAAAGAGTATCCTACATCAGAACTTGAAGAGGAAATAAATCGGTATATAAGCCCTTGAGTTGAACTAACTAATTGATTGGATTCAATCTTTTAATGTGGTTCAACCCAAGTGTCTTATTGCCCAATCCAGTTGTCCATACCCATCCTAAATTCTATCATGGTATCAGAGCAGGTTTTGGCCCACCTCGTTTGTCAAGGTGTCTGTCTAGACGTTCATTTCTAGCGGCCCGTTAGTCTTTAGCCCAATTGTCCGTATGGAGTATGTACCCAACGGCCTGTGGCTCGTTTAACACGATTGCTCGTCTAGAAATCCATACCCAGCGGCTCGTGGTCCTTAAGGTGTTGGCACTAAAAAAATCAAGGGGATGTGAGTCCATTTGCAAGTGGTCAACCTGTTAGATTCAAAATGGCCCGGTTGTCCACTTGAGGGGGAGTGTTAAAGAGTATCCTACATCAGAACTTGAAGAGGAAATAAATCGGTATATAAGCCCTTGAGTTGAACTAACTAATTGATTGAATTCAATCTTTTAATGTGGTTCAACCCAAGTGTCTTATTACCCAATCAGTTGTCCATACCCATCCTAAATTCTATCAATAGATCAAGTAGAATTTTGTTGAAGACACACATGCATTGCCATTACTCAAAAGAAGAAGAATTAGAAGATTGAGACGGGAAGGGCATCTGGAAATAAACTTCGACTCTGTGCATGAATTTATAATGCTAACTAGTTTTAGACAGTTAAGTCACACTATATATTTCATGTCAGTGACCCTAAAATAGTCGGGATTAATCTCCATGAGTGTAGCATTGTTGTATTTCTTTTTTGTTTACGAACAATTTCCTTCCTTTTCCACACACAAATATTTATGAAATACTCCGTATGTTTTATCTTAACTCTCTACAGTAACAGGTATTCCCATGAAGGAAGTATGAGATATTCCCGTGAATTATCCCGGACAACATCAAGAAGTATTGGTGCTAGTTTTCGTTCCAATAAATCACATAGTAAATTTGGCGATGATGGTGGAGAGGACGATAAGCCATTTCCTGTTCCTTCAAAGAGATTGTTGACTATGGTTGGCCCAGACTGGTATTATGGAGTTATCGGGACAATTTGTTTATTTATTGCCGGAGCTCAGATGCCACTCTTTGCTCTTGGTGTAACTCAGGCACTCGTATCTTACTACATGGACTGGGACACAACATGCAGAGAAGTAAAAAAGATTTGCTTACTTTTTTGTGGAGGTGCATTTTTAACTGTCGTTGTTCATGCCATTGCCCATTGTTGCTTTGGGATCATTGGGGAGCGGCTCACACTTCGTGTGCGGGAGTTGATGTTTTCTGGTAATTGCTTCATCATCAACATAAATTTGACTTGTAGTAACTTTCACAAGAATGCAGTATGTAAATTGCATTCGTAAGGAGTATTGTTAAGCCTTTTTTGTTCAGTTCTGGTCTTCAGATGTTATACTCACTGTATTTGTTGTCTCTGAAGCAATGCTAAGAAATGAGATTGGATGGTTTGATGCCATGGACAACACGAGTTCTATACTTGCTTCACGCTTAGAAAGTGATGCAACTCTTCTGCGAACTGTAATCGTTGATAGCTCCAGTATTCTTTTACAAAATATAGGCTTGGTGGTCACGTCATTCGTCATCGCGTTTATCTTGAATTGGAGGCTAACCCTTGTTGTCATGGCAATGTATCCTCTTATCGTCTGTGGCCACATCAGCGAGGTTTGATCTTATTTTGGCAACCTTATAGTCCAAAGAGTAAAAACTGTTCAATATGACACTGTGCTATTACTTTTATTTCAGAAGCTATTTATGAAGGGCTTTGGGGGTGACTTGAGTAAAGCATATCTAAAAGCAAATATGTTTGCTGGTGAGGCCGTTAATAATATCCGAACTGTTGCAGCTTTCTGTTCGGAGGAGAAGGTGCTTGATCTATATGCTCATGAACTTGTAGAACCATCAAAGCGTTCATTTTATCGTGGTCAGGTCGCTGGGATATTTTATGGAGTCTCTCAGTTCTTTATCTTCTCATCATATGCTCTTGCTTTATGGTATGTTTCGCAACTGTCATATGATGGAGACCTACTAACATTCGCTATTAGAGCAATCATTTTTCAACTGCAACACTTCTATATATCTTTCCTGAAATTCATATACGGAATCCCAACGCTGCACTAGTTAACTAACTGTCTATTTTTATTTTTGAAGAAGTTTTTATTGATCATCAAGAAGAAGTACAGCTGAAAGTACAACAAAAGAAGCCAACAAAAGAAACAAAACAAAGAGAACAAATAAACTACTCATCAATAGGTCTCTTTCAATGCTTCCAAAATTGATCCAAGCCCCAATCTTTTTAGTCTTTATAAAAAAGCATCCAATTCTTCTTTTTCTTCATATACCTCCAAGTTTGAATCAAGTATATGATGCTTTGGATTGTTCTCTTCATATGTGGCTTCCTTCCTTCAAAAAGTTTTTGTTGTCCAAGTGATGAAACCTGAGATAATCTGTCAAAGCTTTGCTCTCAGGTTCTTGTTTTGAGTTCTTAACCACCATTCTAGCATATGGAGTCTAAGGCGAGTGCCTTTCTCTGCATAGAATCCATAGTTTGTAAGGCGGCAAGGCGAGGCAAGGCGCCAATGTACCTTCATATCGCCTAGGCGACTAGGCGCACGCCTAGGCGACAATTAGGCGACATACATACATACATACCTACATACACACTCACACATACATACATATATATATGTCTTATACATTTTAAAGAAGCTTGGTCGAGAAAGAGAAGACCGAGAGAGAAGATAAGTTTAAGTCTATTAGGCTACACGAAAAGAAAATGGGCTGCACTAATAAATGGGTTTCTTCAAACTTTTAATGGGGCCCAAGGCATCAAGGCGAGTTAAGGCGAGGAAAGGCAAGGAAAGGCGACGCCTAAGTGAGCGCCTTATCGCCTTATGGTTTTCCAGGCGAGGCGAGCAGTCAAGGCGTCCTAGTGACAGCGCTTTATCGCCTAGGCGACGCCTTACAAACTATGATAGAATCCATCAACCATACAAGAGAAGAAGCTCCAGACTTTAGATATTTCTGTGCAGCTGAAAAGAATGTGCTCTTTACTATCTTCTGCTTTTTGACAAAAACAGCAGCAACTATGAAGATGCATATTAAATCTTTTTCTCAAATTTTCTGAAAAAGGAAGAGCATTACGGAGTAGTTTCCATTGAAGCATTCTTATTTTTTGGATTTGATGTTTACTCCAGATATATTTGCAAGAGAAAAGTCTTGTGCCCTCATCAACAGTAGCAGTGTAGGCCTTTTTAATTGTAAGAGTAACTCCTTCCCATTGAAGATTATTGTCTTCACAGGAGCAAAAATCACTAGCCTTGTCATTGATTCTGCATATTCACTTCCAGATATGAGAATCTCCAATGCGCTCCTTAAAACTACCTCTTCTCATGTATTTAGCTTTCATGAAATTAGTCCATATGCTATTATTTTTCTGAACCTTCCACCAAAGCATATAAGAGTAAGCAGTTTGCATATCAGTCAAGGATTTGATCCCTAGACCTCCCAAAGCAGTTAGTCTGCAGACAGAATCCCAGTTCTTCCAGTGATATTTGGGGATTCCTTCTTTGAATCCCCAAAAACTTTTAGCAATTCTTCTATGAATATCATTAATCACAGATTTTGGAATAGAATGAACTGCCAGAATATGCATATGAATTGCAGCAAGTACATGTTTTATAAGAATCAATTTCCCCTTTAGAATATGCACTAGTTTACTAACTGCCTTCACCTTTAGAATATGTAGAAATTAAGTCTGGATATTCATTTATGGCTATATCTTTTTAAGGTATGGTTCTGTTTTGATGGGAAAGGAGATTTCTAGCTTTCAATCTGTCATGAAGTCATTTATGGTTCTGATAGTCACAGCATTGGCCATGGGAGAGACCCTCGCAATGGCACCAGACCTCATAAAAGGAAACCAAATGGTAGCATCTGTATTTGAAATACTTGATCGCAAGACCGAGATTCCCAGTGATGTAGGGGAAGAGTTAACAAAGGTAGAAGGTACAGTCGAGCTCAAGGACGTGGAGTTCAGCTACCCCTCACGGCCCGATGCTCTGATTTTCAAGGAGTTCAACATGAGAGTGCGACCAGGCCAAAGCATGGCCTTAGTAGGGCAGAGTGGTTCTGGTAAAAGCACAGTCATTTCCCTCATATTGAGGTTCTATGATCCAACATCAGGGAAAGTGATGATTGATGGTTAGTATTTCCATGCTAAACAAAACCAGAAGATAGATAGATAGATATATGCAATTTTCTTGATCAACCAAATCTTTCGTCCTTTCTACACAGGTAAAGACATCAAGAAACTAAAGCTCAAGTCTCTGAGGAAGCACATAGGCTTGGTCCAGCAAGAACCGGCGCTGTTTGCCACAACAATCTATGAAAACATAGGGTATGGGAAAGAGGGAGCATCCGAAGCAGAAGTGATTGAAGCAGCAAAGGTGGCCAATGCCCATAGTTTCATTAGCGCCCTCCCGGAGGGCTATTCAACCAAGGTTGGAGAGCGAGGCGTGCAGCTTTCTGGAGGCCAGAAGCAGAGAGTGGCCATAGCCCGAGCTGTCCTAAAGAACCCTGAAATCTTACTCTTGGATGAAGCCACCAGCGCACTTGATGTTGAGTCAGAGCAGATTGTTCAACAAGCTTTGGATAGGTTGATGAAAAGCCGGACATCAGTCATTGTGGCACACAGGTTGTCAACCATTACAAATGCAGACCAGATATGTGTTTTACAAGATGGAAAGATAATAGAGAAGGGGACTCATTCTTCACTGGTTGAGAACATGGATGGAGCCTATTATAAGCTTATTCACTTGCAACAGCGCCAACATGAATGTTAGGAGCTCTTCGCGTATTGAGACGTTTAATTCAATGTATATATTGTTTTCCTATTTCGATTTGAAGTGTGTGACTTTATTTTAGTCCTCATATATTTTATACACGAAGCTGCTTTTGTAAAATTGTGTCCCTAGACCAGTTTCCTTGCTCTTTCCCATTTTTTTTGGAGTTGACAAGTTTTTTTTTGAATCTCATTCTTACCAAAACATCATCTTCTATGCATTTTCTTTACACCATGCATTATGTTTCAAGTCGTCCTGCGGCATGAGGAAAATTGATATGACTTGGTTTTTACTCGAGGCCTAACTTAAAATTCTTCAAATACTAGATTTTGAACAAATATATTGTTAAACAAATTCGAATATGTCCGAACTTGATTGACCTGCTAGATATGGGTCAAACTTGTTCGAACTTGAACCTGACTTGATTGACTTTCCAAGTTAAGGTTATTTTAAAGTCTTGTAAATATAATGTAAAAAATAAAGTTATACAAAGTTATATACGGAGTAATTTTTTTTGAGGAAAACGTTATATTATTTATTTTAGTTATGTTGAAACTTGTGTTTTTCATTGAGTTTTTAGTTATATTTCATTGTACATGTTAAAATTTTGGTTGCTAATTCCATTTTTTATTTGGCTATACCTATCCCTTTTTATATCAAATATACAAGTTCACCCACAATGCTTAAAAAGGGAAATAAAAAAGTGAAAGGAACACTTTTCATAATTGGAGTGAAATTAACCGAACATGGCGTGGTTTTAAAAATATTTTAAAATCTAAAATATTCTTTCAAAACTCAAGATACACTGCAATTAAATGTACACTTTTTGTTGGAGGAGCAATATAGGTTTGCACAACAAAGGAGGTACTTGATAGGCTTACGAACTGTGAAAGAATCACTTTCATGTTGGTAATTTTACTGTCACCAGCTATTTTATATGATTAGATTTACTTAGATCAGACAAGAATTTCAATAAGCATTGTCATACGAGTTAGGAGGCGCGGAGGGCGTACTCGTTCAAGTGGGGTCTAGGGGCGGCACCGGCCCTAGGGTAACGGGGTCCAAGGGGTGGTAGCCCCTTGCGAGGTCCAAGAGGTAGAGCCCCTAGCCGTACATTTTTTCTTTATGAAAATTCTTAAGATTTTCGTGATCGGATTCCGAAATAATAAAGGACTCGAACGAGTGGCTAAACGTCGAATATGACTCTAAAATCGAAGGAGATCTTTCGTTGAAATGCTTTATTCTTCTCGCGCATTTCTTCCTCTCCGCGCGAACGTTCATGTTCGGTCATGAATTTTCGACTCTATAAATAGAGTCTCGTGATATGGGTTGAGGAATCTGACTTCTTGTGCTTGTTCTTCATTAATGTCTTATCCGATTGAAGTATTTCGTATACCTCAAAATAAATTTGATCTGAAAGCGTTTATATGCGATTCGTAGTAGGGTTAAGAATAAGGAAACTAACATTGATCAGGGATTCTATACAATATGAAATCTACCATTGATAACTAGTGTCACCCCCGTGCGTTGCACGAGTCATATTTACGAAACTAAATTAAGCTCCTTTTTCAACGGCACAGATTTAAAAATGCATTTGAAAGAAACTAATTATGAAAATTATAGCATATGATCGTATTTATACAATGAAAAGTTTTTTACTTATTCTATTTTCTTTTTTCAGATTTTTTTATTTTTTAAATTTAAAATGTAATATTTGTCAAACTATACAATTGGTGTTACTTATCATTTCAACATTCCTTTTTTAGATGATCTAAAAGTTGCACATTCCTTTTTAGTTTATTCATACTTTATTTAAAAAGCGTTGGATTCTCAATTTGGTTTTCCTGCTCATTTGGTGTTCCAATAAAAATGATAATTGTTCTCTCCATATGGTAATTACTCAATTAAAATGGAGTTACACGAGTCATTAATGTAGTTACCATAATTGAGTAATTAGTCAATGAAAATGGTAAGTAATTTGAAGTAATAATAAAAATTCAAACATAATTACACTTATCGTTAATAAATCAATCTTTTTTTAACCAGTTTATACGAATGGTAATAATTGATTAAATGTATTTAATTATACTAGTACTTTAACCCGTGCCACGCACGGCGTGGAACAAAATTTTTTGAAATTAATTTTTTTTCAATATAATATTTTTATGGAATAAATAAAATATATTTATTGAATGATTTTTAATACTATGGACACAAAAGCCAAAGTAGAATATATAATATTTGAGAAATTGAAAGTGCAATCGAGAAAGTCTTTTTAATTTCAAATTTTTTTTAAAAGACTTCAAGTTATACTACGTATAATATTTTGTGATGGTTGCAAGAATTTTCATTCTCATATATAAACAATATTTTTAATTTTATCTTTGTTTTCATTTGTGAAATAACATAAAGTTAATCATGACTTTAGTATGTGAGATCATTTTTTATATGATATTTTTTAACCAACATTTTAATTTTATTTACTTATTACCCTTGTCCTAAAATATTTGTCTAGTTTATCCTTCTGTAGTTAAATTGAACAAAATTTGATCATCAGTTAAAGGAAAAGTATGTTATATATTGGTACCAAATCATTTGTTAAAGAAAACTTACATCCTTCATTAAAGTACTAGTATAAATCTACTTAGAAATAGATTACAATTTTATTTCCTTGAAGTATGACCATAAATTTATAATATGAGGATAGGTACAATGTTTGTGCCCACAAACAATATTTTTATACTACGTTTTCTAGTTATATTATTTTTATATATGCAAGTATGACCCGACGGCCGACACAAAAAATCTATAAATAAGAGATATATTATAAACACAATAAACGACAAAAGATCATTTTATTAAAACTTATTGAATTTTTAATTTATCACTAACCAAGCTAGACATTTGAACCAAGACATACATTTAAACTTTTAAGTTAAAAAAATGGAGTATTTGTAAAAGCAATAAAATAATTGTAGACTAAACCATAAGTTCATCTACATACTTTTAGATGGTGTAGTGTAAACATACCATGTAAGTCGAACCATAAAACAAAAGTCATCAATAAATCAAATATAATATTATTTTTCTTTGATCTTGACACCCTTCAACTTGGTAACCGACTTGTCTCCATCTTTAAGATCAGATTCTTCTTCATGTATTCTTTTCATTAGCGTGAAACTGAATATACTATCTCCAAGTCTCGTCATTTGATTATCTTCAACATCGATAAAACCTGCAATCAAGTCCTGGAATAAAATATTAATTTTATTAAATATTGATCCATAATAATAATTCTTATATTTGTCTCGAGGGGGTGGGAACGAAACAGATGATAAGATATTTTTTAATGGACGAAAGATAAAAAGGATCAATTGCATCATTTTTTTCAATAGGCATAGTACTTTAGATAAAAAGATTAACCAAAGAATCTAATAGTTATAATTTATAAACTGTCTAATATAATAATAAAAACCAAAAAGATGGAACTCAAGATAACGTAAAAGTTCTAGACTTATTTTAACGGACTTCATCTTCTTGCTCGACTCATCCCTATCTCCATCTCCATCAAATTAGCTAAAGTACCCCATTAGCTAAAGTACCCCACCATCGTTGCATCGTTGATTTCTTTAGAATTACGTATACATATACCCCACTATTAATATGACATTAGGCGTTCAGAGCAAATTGTTTCTCAAAAAGATGCTTTTGAACCAACCTGATAACATATAATCCCTTCATCAAAGATAGTGCATGCAGTAAGTTTACTAAATCTACTTGTACTTCTGATCTGGAAAAGAATATACTCCTTCCCTCACTAAATATTCACAACATTTGCTTTTTCAGTCGTGTCGGGAACTTTTGTTTATTTTGACATTTTCATTGATTATTTGATAAAATAAAATATTGTTGACACCTCTTATTTCGAAGAATTTTTCATGTAGTTTTTTATATGTAAATTTTATTTTTTATTTCTTTACCAATATGTAAATAAAATGAATTGAAAAAACTTGATATTTTGTCTCAGAAATACAAATGTGGCAAAAAATTTGGGACAGAGAGAGTAGTATACAATAAACAGAAACTGCTTAATTTTGGATAGTTTCCTTCTGTGAATCGGTGAATGAGTCGGTTGAAGAGTCAATCCCGGATGAAGAGATGCGTGGCTATAATACGTGTCAAAAAAGTAAGCCTTCAGTAATGCCAAATGGCAGCCTCTTAGATGATTGATTCTCAAATTTTATATTAAAGGATTTACTAATATATACGTAGTATGTAATAATATCTAATAACTTATTTCATTTAAAAATAGTAATTAAAAATTTAAGTACGTATGTCACAAAGGGTAATTAAAAATCTAATAACCATAATAAAGTAAGGCTAATAAAATAGATATATTATTTTGGTATTATGTTAATTTATACAAATGGTAATTGTATTTAATTATCTATACTTTATTTAAAAAGATGTGAACTCTTTGACCAGTTTTCCCGCCACTATAAGAAAAATGGCATTTTACCACACTTAAAATTGTTGTTCGCCACACATATAAGGGTGGGGGAGACTTTTTGCCGCACATAAGGTAAGTGTGGCGATTGAATATGTGGGGAAAATATTGGCGCACTGTTGATAAGTGCGGCGAATGAATATGTTACCCACACATATAAGTGTGGTTAATGTTTTATTTTGCCACATTTATATGTGTTTTTAAAACACTACACAAAAAGTACTAGAATTTTTAATATTTTGAATTCATAAAAAACCTATGTGGGGTGCAATTGACGGGGGTAGGGGGGTGTGTTCGGATCGGGGCGGGATGAGAGGGTTCACTGGAAGGATTAGGAGGGGTAGGAATCGTCAATTTTACGAACGGGGCATCGGAGCGCCCCCGGATCATCCCATGACATTGGAACTCAATGTCATGGGAAGCCTACCCTTAGAGCACTCGGTATACCTGTAACGCCGACCGACGTTATGCCGGTTTTCACGCCCCGGGGGCGTTAAACACCGCCCCCGGTGGCATTACCCGGGCGTTACCAGGCCTTTGTCAAACGAATGACGCTCTGTCATTCCTCTCCCCCTCCCCTCTTAACGGCTATTATAGCCGTTGGACCCCAAAAATTTTTTTCCTTATAAATTCAAACCCCCCCTCCCAATCTCTCACACCTTCTCCATCTTCAATCTCTTCTTCTTCCCAATTTTTAAAATTTTAAATCACCCCCTCTCTTTTCAACATGAATCCTTCTGACTCGGGCTTCTTTCCCGACGATCTCCCGCCAAGCGACGCCGCGATGTGGTTGTACCAACAGTGGGGCGATCGACCGTCGATCTACGAGACACAACAATCGCGGTACGTCGACTGGGATTTGGTTCCGGAGACTGAACTGGAACCGTCCGGATCGAAAAAAAATACACGCCAGAAAAGCCACAAAGCCAAAAGCATGATGACCTTGGCGTCGGCTTTGGTTAACGTCTCCGAGCATCCTATCATTGGTAAAACAAATTATTTTTTCTAATATATTTATGTTTTATTTATATTTATTATATTTAATGGTGTCTAAAAAAATTGTGTAATAATTTTTAAAGGTTCAGAGCAAACGAAGGATGCGATGTGAGATCGTATCGAGGAGAAGTTATTCACGGCAATGAACAAAGACGACTCCTACCGAACCTGGGACCAACTCACTTCCAAATGGAGCCACATCAACCGTAAAGTCCAAAAATTTATCGGAGTTTACGAGGAATGCTCCCAGTCCCGGAGGAGCATGACGAATGACGTCGATGTTCTCCGGCTTGCCACGGCCTGGTATCAAGACGACGGGCACCAAGGCAAGATGCCCATCAATCTTTAGAGGATTTTGAGCCGTTCCCCGAAGTGGCAACAACTCAACAGTCCCGATGGCGGATCGTTCCGGAAAAGATTCACCGTCGACGCCGAGGTTGAGGTCGACGAGACTATCGGTTCAACCGATCCAATCCTTGTAACACCCCAACCCGCGTGGCCCAAATACAAGGACCATCGGATCGGGTTGCTACTAAATTGGCATTCAAACGCAATAATTTTCAAAACAATTTAAAACATTTAATTCAAAACAATATTTAAATATCCATCAGAGTAAATCAAAACGGTGCGGAAGCCTTTAAGTACTTAATCAAAATACAACTTTGGGTTCTTGCCCCTAAGAATATAAATTAATTCAAACTCAAATATTAAATAATAAACTTCTCCAGCTAGCATCCATCCATCTCTTCGCCCTCGCTGCCTCCAAGACCGTCTCATTATTCATCGTTCCTGTTACCTACGTGTAGCAATTAGGAAAAAGGGCTACACGCTCGGCATTGAAGCTGAGTGGAATCTATCTAACGTTTCGACTACGCACATAGACGAACCACTAGCTCATAACTTCATACAATATCATGCACACAAGTCAACATTTATAACATCAAGAATATAAATGATTCANATATTAAATAATAAACTTCTCCAGCTAGCATCCATCCATCTCTTCGCCCTCGCTGCCTCCAAGACCGTCTCATTATTCATCGTTCCTGTTACCTACGTGTAGCAATTAGGAAAAAGGGCTACACGCTCGGCATTGAAGCTGAGTGGAATCTATCTAACGTTTCGACTACGCACATAGACGAACCACTAGCTCATAACTTCATACAATATCATGCACACAAGTCAACATTTATAACATCAAGAATATAAATGATTCACGCAACATATTACTCACCTCCATTCTCCAGCTGCATAAGTTATAAATTCAACATTCAAGTTCTTACAACAGTTCATATCAAATACTAGCTCATAACCTATACTAGGCTAAGGCCAATTCCTCATTATCCACATAGGCTGCGTTCCGTTCAACTTATTTTTTCTGATCTGATCTGATTCTAATAAGTTCTGATCTGATCTCGTCTGATCTGATTGGATCTGATCTGATCTAATCTGGTCTGATCTGATTAATTATGATTTAATTTAAAATTTCAAATCAATAATTTAATTTGCCTTTATAATAACGTTTGAAAATTATAATGATAATTCAAATTATAATATAATCAATATTTTTTATTTAATGATTATTTTTTAATAAAATAAAAATAGTTAATTCATATATTAAAATAATCATTCATATTATAATGTAATAATATTTTTATTTTATGATTATATTTTTGTAAAATTCGAATTATACATTAGAATAAATATTTAATTTAGATATACATTAAAAAGTAATTAAATTTAGATAATCAATATATAGAAGAGATAGTGTTTTTATTAAAATATCTCATCTTATAAAAGATCAAAAGTTTAGAAACTCAAATTACAAGTAGCAATAAAAATATATTTCAAAACTAGAATTAGATTGACATTGTCAATGTATTTTAAAACTAATTTTTCCAACGTCTAATAATTAAGGATTGTTTTCTCAGTTTTCTATTTAACCTATTTCTAAAGTTTATTCTTTTTCATTTTTAAGAACAATATTAATGATGATGATGATGATGATGATGATCATAATAATAATAATAATAATAATAATAATAATAATAATAATAATAATAATAATAATAATAATAATAATAATAATAATAATAATAATAATAATAATAATAATAATAATAATAATAATAATAATAATAATAATAATAATAATAATAATAATAATTCTTGATGGGATCTGATTTTAATAAGTCCTGATCTGATCTCATCTGATTGGATCTGATCTGATCTGATTGGATCTGATCTGATTCGATCTGATCTGATCTGATCTGATTTTAATAAGAATAAGAAAAAATAAGTTGAACGGAACGGGGCCATACTTATCTTAGGACTTAGAGCCACTACCTACGGCCATGACTCAAAGTCCACTCTATGACCTCAGAACCACTACCTACGGCAATGATTCTGGTCAACCTGGTACCTACGGCGCTGGTTGGGTGGAACCTCCAATCCTACGGATCAGATCCCAGATTCCATGTACGTACATCTTTACCCGAATGCCACTGGACTAAGTCCACAAGGCTCTACACCTATTGTCAACTTACAATCTCAATTCTCACAAAGTAGTCCTAGAGTTCATCTAGGTAACCTACGTCACTAACCTACTTTAATTATTCAAATCCAAGCAAACAACAACCTCAATTTACTTTATCCGTTTAAAGCATATCACACCACATTTACAATAAATCAAGAGAACAGAATTAACCAAATAAATCATCATGCAATCCAAATAGCGGCCTAATGTCGGGTGTAAACACCTTCCACTTACCGTCATGCAAATCACACAAATTTGAAGTAAGAAAACATACCTGGTCATCCTCGTTCAATCATATTCAACAATAACATATAACATAGATAAATCACAATTTAATTATAAACAAATAAACCACGTAATCAATCATACGAAACTACGAACGTGAATTTCAAATCTATATACATAATCTAGCGTTAGATGTGCAAGTTCTGACCTCGATTATTTGAAGACGAATTAAACAAATCAATAACGGAGGATTACGGAAGGGAACAAAGTCAGTCAACGGCGGTAGCTGGTCACGGTGAGTCGGTGACAAGGTTGTTTCCCGGCGATCTCAACAGCGGCGGTGAACCGGCGTCACAGCGGCGGCGGTACTGCTTCTCCTCCGCTGCCCGGCTCTGTTCTCGTAGTTCCCTGCTCTGTTTTCTTTCTCTGCTTTTGCGTGCGTGCGTAGTGTATATAGAGAGGTGGGGGGAAGGATTTCCTAAACGAAAATATTTGCACTAAATAGCACTAAAACTTAAGTCATTTCCCTAAATAGCACTTAAATAGTTTTATTCCTTAAATAGCACTTAATAATGTCGATAATATCCAATGATGGTGAATATTTACTTGAATAATGACTAATGCATAATGACTAAAAGTGCTACATTGGGAAGAAAAACACATGTAGTGTTATTTAGGGAAAATTATTATGTTTTAGTGCTATTTAAGTAAATTCCTCTTCCTAACGTGGGTAGGTTTAGGTTTTCCTTTTTAATAATTTATTATTTTATATTATAAATTCTTTATATTTATTTATTGAACTGAAATGTCTATTTTACTCATCACGCTTTATACATATATCCAACTATAACGAACTTTATACCGTTGGTCATCATTTTACGAGATCTATTCGAAAACCTAATTTTTATTTAAAACGGACCACTTTATAAATAATTCATATTTTAGAGTAAATAAATATTATATTTATTTTTATTAAAATAACAGCTAACTACTAAGCCGGTTTTTGGGTCGTTACATTTCTCTCCCCCTTAAAAGAATTTCGTCCCCGAAATTCCTTAGTCTAGCGTCTACTCAAACACATGCACATATAGTTCACACACATAAGCACATAGGGAACACATATAGATCCTGGGTCTCGTTTTGGTTGTTCGAAGCTTCGCTCATTCTATATAGATCAAGCTTTCTTAATTAAATGCTAACTCATAGTAAACAAATAATCAACTTTTAATACCTTCCTGAGGCAGAGGAGTTGCGAGAGTTACGGATGCTGCTGCTGAAGTACCTTGCAACCAAATCAACAATTTATTTTTGAAACATTTTTTTGGAATCTTTTTCTGTGAGAGGGTCCAAAGACCGATTTTAAAACCACTTGCTCTGATACCAAAATGTAACACTCCAACCCGCGTGACCCGAATACAAGGACCAGCGGATTGGGTTGCTACTAAATTGGCATTCAAACGCAATAATTTTCAAAACAATTTAAAACATTTAATTCAAAACAATATTTAAATATCCATCAGAGTAAATCAAAACGGTGCGGAAGCCTTTAAGTACTTAATCAAAATACAACTTTGGGTTCTTGCCCCTAAGAATATAAATTAATTCAAACTCAGATATTAAATAATAAACTTCTCCAGCTAGCATCCATCCATCTCTTCGCCCTCGCTGCCTCCAAGACCGTCTCATTATTCATCGTTCCTGTTACCTACGTGTAGCAATTAGGAAAAAGGGCTACACGCTCGGCATTGAAGCTGAGTGGAATCTATCTAACGTTTCGACTACGCACATAGACGAACCACTAGCTCATAACTTCATACAATATCATGCACACAAGTCAACATTTATAACATCAAGAATATAAATGATTCATGCAACATATTACTCACCTCCATTCTCCAGCTGCATAAGTTATAAATTCAACATTCAAGTTCTTACAATAGTTCATATCAAATACTAGCTCATAACCTATACTAGGCTAAGGCCAATTCCTCATTATCCACATACTTATCTTAGGACTTGGAGCCACTACCTACGGCCATGACTCAAAGTCCACTCTATGACCTCAGAACCACTACCTACGGCCATGATTCTGGTCAACCCGGTACCTACGGCGCCAGTTGGGTGGAACCTCCAATCCTACGGATCAGATCCCAGATTCCATGTACGTACATCTTTACCCGAATGCCACTGGACTAAGTCCACAAGACTCTACACCTATTGTCAACTTACAATCTCAATTCTCACAAAGTAGTCCTAGAGTTCATCTAGGTAACCTACGTCACTAACCTACTTTAATTATTCAAATCTAAGCAAACAACAACCTCAATTTACTTTATCCATTTAAAGCATATCACACCACATTTACAATAAATCAAGAGAACAGAATTAACCAAATAAATCATCATGCAATCCAAATAGCGGCCTAATATCGGGTGTAAACACCATCCACTTACCGTCATGCAAATCACACAAATTTGAAGTAAGAAAACATACCTGGTCATCCTCGTTCAATCAATTTCAACAATAACATATAACATAGATAAATCACAATTTAATTATAAACAAATAAACCACGTAATCAATCATACGAAACTACGAACGTGAATTTCAAATCTTTATACATAATCTAGCGTTAGATGTGCAAGTTCTGACCTCAATTATTTGAAGACGAATTAAACAAATCAATAACGGAGGATTACGGAAGGGAACAACTTCAGTCAACGGCGGTAGCTGGTCACGGTGAGTCGGTGACGGGGTTGTTTCCCGGCGATCTCAACAGCGGCGGTGAACCGGCGTCACAGCGGCGGCGGTACTGCTTCTCCTCCGCTGCCCGGCTCTGTTCTCGTAGTTCCCTGCTCTGTTTTCTTTCTCTGCTTTTGCGTGCGTGCGTAGTGTATATAGAGAGGTGGGGGGAAGGATTTCCTAATGTGGGTAGGTTTAGGTTTTCCTTTTTAATAATTTATTATTTTATGTTATAAATTCTTTATATTTATTTATTGAATTGAAATGTCTATTTTACTCATCACGCTTTATACATATATCCAACTATAACGAACTTTATACCGTTGGTCATCATTTTACGAGATCTATTCGAAAACCTAATTTTTATTTAAAACGGACCACTTTATAAATAATTCATATTTTAGAGTAAATAAATATTATACGGAGTATTTATTTTTATTAAAAAAACAGCTAACTACTAAGCCGATTTTTGGGTCGTTACAATCCTTCCCTTCAACGTGGCGGATTCTGATGACGAGGATCCCATTCCACGACCGGTCGGAAGAAAGAAGGCAAAATCCATTGCCTCTGGTTCGAGAGGATCCGCCTCTCTTTCCGCTTCGATTCTTCTTGCGATGAAATCGGCCGGGAAATGGTTGAACAACTTCGGGCGTTCAATCTTCGAAAACAAGAGAGGTTGAAGCTAAATGAGAAGGAGTTGAAGCTAAAGGAGCAGGAGGCCGAGATGAAAGTCATGGAAACCGACCTCGGGACGTTGTCGGAGATTGGACGAATGATCTACGAGCAAAGAATAAAAGAGATTAAGGAGAAATATGATTTACCTTAGTTTTTGTTATTAATGGATCTTTTTTTAATTATTGTCACTTTTTTATTTAATGAATGTATTTTTTTTATTATTCGTGTTTCAATATAATTAAATAATAAATAAATTACATTTTATTAATTTAATTTTAGAAGATGTATATTTAAAAATGTAAAAAATGAAGGTTTGAAGCCCCAATTTAAAACCCCGGGGCTTCAAACCCATTTCCAGTAAATTTTGTGTGCAAGTTAAAACTGACGTGTCAGAGAGAAAGTTTGAAGCCCCGGGGCTTCAAACGTATTTCCAGTGCCCTTTATTAGTCCAAGGATAAAGCTATTTGTACCTCATATTTTGTACCCCACTTTGTACCCCGGTAGCTTTGCACCAACACTTTGTGTTGGTGTACAACTAATTTTTGTTAATCCACCAACACTTTGTGTCCGTGTAAATTTTCGTTAACGCACCAACACTTGTGTCGATGTAAACCATCAAAATGTTTGTGTATAACTATGGTGTACAAATGAAGTACAATTTGTGGTGTAAGTGTAGCATAACCCTTAGTGCAAATATTTCATATGATATGGAGGGAGTATGACATACATACCCACTGGAAAGTGGAAAGTACAAAGTGGTCAAGAGTCACCTCTTACCCACCCACCCATCTGGTCTCAGAACATCTTGTCTCAAAACACACGCATCGATTCATTACAAGTACCTGGACAAATTTCCCACTTTTTCTCTCGTTTCAATTATCCCAAAAAATAATTTTTTGGATCTAAAGTTCGGGATAATTGAATTCAGACTGATGGAGGGAGAGGTGGTCGGAACATCGTCGCCGGCGTACACCGCCGAGACGAACGGGGCTCTGAGATGTGGATTTGAGGGCGGTGTCGTAACTAGGTCGAAATCGATTGAATTCCCTCTGTCGTTTTGGGAGATCGCAGTCGCGAGCGGCGTCGTTTTGGGCTTTGCGTTCGGTCTGCTCGGCGTATATCTCACCATGCCGCCTTCTGATTACAGCTTTCTCAAGATTCCTCGGACTATTGAAGACATCCAAATGTTAAGGTATCTAAATAAATGGGAGATAACATTTTACAATGAATGTACGAGCTATTTGAGAACTAGTGTATTCTGTTTTCTTGTGTTACTAGTTTTGATTGCTGCATTTATTGAACTATTTAAGATTTGTCTAGCAGCTCTTTTAAAACAACGATATTATTCATTAATGTAGTTCACATTCTGGATTCGAATTGTTAATGAATGAATGTAGACATAATTGTGGTTACATTCATTCAACATTTCGTTGTACTTGGTCCTCTGTATTACAAAATGATACGGAGTACTCCATACTCTGTAATTGGCTATTGCTCTTTCCATTCTGAATTAATTGTTCTAGTTTGACTTTGTGGATTTTAAGAAAAGTGTTGAAGAGAATTTGGATAAAAGTAAAAAAGTATAAAAATAGTAATATAGAATTCTTAATTTTTTTAGACCAATATATGTGTTCACACTATCATTGTTATAGTGCCACACTCATCAGATGCGTGTCACACTGGCATTGCCAAACTACAATCCGCCACCTCTGGTCACATGAGTGTAGCCACCAGTCACCGATGTTGACTGGCGGTCATATTTCATTGTCAACACTTTTCCATCACATGTTAATCACTCTTACATGACAATGCAATTACACTCCTATTCAGAGGATTAAACTGGGTGACTCCTATTTTAATATTTTAGTTAAGTTTGACTCCTATCTAGAGAGATTTCTTAAACAAAAAGTGGGTGGTTCAAATATGTTTAGAAGAAAGAAAAAGATTGTAGACCACAAATTCTTTACCTTACTAAGTAAGAAAGTAGGACAATTAATTTGAGACGAACAAATAAGGAAAGTAGGAGGATTCATTTGGGACACAGAGAGTAGAATAAAATGGACAAGCAGATACATTGGAGTTTGAAATTGAAGAAATGTTAAAGTTAATAGAATGCGTAACATTGGAGTTTTAAGGCAAAATAAAAATTCTTAACAAACACAAAAGTATCCACTCAAATATTTCTTTATCTAATAGTAAACTTTCCTCTATGCTAAAACCTTAGAAGATTCTTTCATTCTTATGTACTCATATATTGTTGTTATTGCACCTTGGTTAGATAAAACATGGAATGTAATAATTCAACAAAAAAAGAAAGAAATTTTGGATATGGTATGCTCATCTCATCCAAAGTATAAGTTGCACAATCTCTGACCCTGCATCCGAATGTGTTTCAATGTAAATAATCTGATAGAAGATACCTTATATTTCCATCATTGCAATACGACCACATAGGAAGTAAATATATGAACTAACTTGACACAAAGTGAAGGGAATCGTTGTATGAAAGTGAAACCCTTTTATATGGCGGGAATGGAGAATATCATAGTCATAACACATGTTTCAACTTTTATGGGTATATTGACCTCTGTTTTGGTTCTTAATTTCTATAGGGATCAACTGGAGAGTTATACGAGTGACTACACTATGCAGGTCCTGTTTGGCTACTGTGTGGTGTACATTTTTATGCAGACGTTTATGATCCCAGGGACAATTTTCATGTCTTTACTTGCGGGTGCTCTATTTGGAGTCTTTAAAGGGGTAGCGCTTGTAGTGTCTGCTGCCACTGCCGGTGCCTCCTCTTGCTTTTTCTTGTCCAAATTAATTGGCCGGCCCCTTGTCTTCTCCATCTGGCCTGATAAGTTGAGTTTCTTCCAGAACCAGGTTATTTCTGATCCTTGTTAGTTTATTCTCCCTCTTTACCTTTGGATTCCTGTCAAAGAAGATTTCATGGAGTTTCTATGCAAATGTTAGAATGTTGGTTACTTTCCATATTTGCCCCTTGATGATACGATTATTAAAACAGGGTGGTGAAATTGGGGGAGGGATATTAGAGATGATGTGACAGAAGAGTAAAATGGAATTTCAATAACCTTAGTAATGCCAAACATGGATGCATGAAGAATCTAATTGGACTACCAAAAATAACAAGTGTGGAGGATTCAAAGGGGTAGAGGGAGTACTATATATATATATATATATATATATATATACATATATATATACTACCTCCATTCCATGTTAACTGTTTATTAAAACTTTCTTGGTACATTCAAAAATGAATGAATGTAGACATACCTTTATGTCGACATTCATTCATTTTTTAATGTATCAAGTAAGTCATAACAGACAGTTATTATGGAATGGAGGGAGTATCTCTTTCATTTGTGGTGTGGATGGAACTGGCGTGCTAACATCAAAAGAATCAATCAGGTGGCAAAGCGGAGGAAACGGCTGTTGAACTACATGTTATTCCTTAGAGTGACGCCTACACTGCCCAACACATTTATTAATGTTGCTTCTCCAATTGTTGATGTGCCTTACCACATTTTCTTTCTGGCGACATTCATTGGTCTTATTCCTGCGGCTTATGTTACTGTCCGGGTAATGTGTCTCCCCTCTTAATCATGCAGTATTTCTTTCGCATAGTGATTCATAATAGATACTACCACAACCAATGTGATTTGACTAATCTTCAACTTACTTTAATATATGAAGCATATTGTCTTACAAAGCTATGACATTTTTCCTTGCATTTTCTCTTATTTGTTGTTTATGAGTACATAAGTCAAACAACAACTACAACAAAATCCAATATAATCCCAACTATGTTAGGGTCTAGGGTCAAGATGTATGGATTAAGCCACACCCATATGAATATTCTTTGTTAAACATATTTTCACAAAAGTACAGAATTTAAAACTGCTGCTTAAAGAAAACAAAAGTCTTATGTCAATGTTATAAAGAGTTTGACTTCAAAAGTTAAACTTGAAAAGCCACAATGGTACAGAAAGTCAGAAAAAGAGAAAGTAGAAAGTTTGATTTAACTTAAAGAAAACTCTTTTAGTTCCATTGGCAATGGATGCATTGTGCCTAAATTCTTTGTTGTGAAAATTCCCACAGAGATGCTAGGCTGATCTAGGGCCTGTTTGGCAACAGCTTCAATGTTTTGCTTTAGGGTTTTGAAAATGGTATCTGACTTGAGCATTTTCAAAGTTTATCTGCACCACTAAAAAATTATCTAAAACGCTAACGCTAATTGAAAACGTTGTTCCACACAAGGCACTAACCCCTCTTAGATAGGCCACTTTTTGATGGTTCACAGCATTGTATGTAATTGCAGGCAGGAATTGCTCTTAGCGAGTTGCGATCATTGGGGGACTTGTATGACTTCAACTCCATAGCTACACTGTTTCTTATAGGAGCGGTGAGCATTACCCCTACATTGATAGGAAGCAATAGTAGCAAAGCCTAATACAATGCCTATTCCATAACTTCGCTGAACAATTGCAAGGGCAATTTCGTCTCTGTACATATCAATCGCTGTTGAAGAGTTGTAACGGCTCATTTCGCTTTAGAAGCCAGGGAGTTCATCTTTCTGATAAATTCTCAAACTGGATGGGGGCTGTACCACTGGATTTAGAGGGCTTGGGTGATGTCCATATTATTCTTTGAGAAACTGCAACTGCTCTCCAAATGTATGGGTTTATCATCATTTATGTTTTTATTGAAATATGCCTATGCAGTCAATCATCTGTTATACTCTTCATTTGCAAACAGGGTGGGAGAAATATACTTAGTCATCGTCCCAAACTTAAATGTTAAAAGATGAAAAATATGGTGAGAGTTTTGTTCAAGTAAAGAAATGTTAATCATATACAGAATATTTCTTTCCTAAAGAGAGGTTAAATGTACCGTTTATTTATAACGCTAATTGTGGGACGGAGATAGGCTTGTCATTGGGTTCGGATTGGTCCAACTTGTTTTGAAAATATTGATCTTGAAATTTAATCCTATCTCTATTGGGTCTCGGTATTGGGTCGGGTATATCCGTAATTAAAGTTGACGTCTTTTATTTTTCTATAATTATAAAACAATTAGTGAAAATACTATCAATGAAAAATACTTAATTGAATATAAATAAAAATAAGTACGTTACTACAACAAAAATTGACATTCTTTACAAAAAATCTACAACAAAAATTTTAGATTTATAATTGGTCTTTTTGTCACATTCATTCATGTTGCAAGAATATTTTTATAACATTAACACTATTTCCAAACTATTTATTTTATATTGCTGCATAGCATAAACCAGCGTGTATATGCCTCTGATGTGGTGAAATAAATACAAATAAATTTGGAAGACACGCATCCAGCGAAGAAGATGAGTAGTGAAGAAGAATGGTAGGGCCGGTTTGTAATATTTAATATTATCTACGTAATATTTATTTAACTGATACAGATTTTAAACGGGTCGGGACTACTCATCATATACCCATCCTATACCCTAAAATAACGGATACGTGTAAACGATATTTTTTACTCCTAACCACGCTAAAAAATTACAGGTACTATACGAGTTCAAGTCAATACCCAACACATTGACAGGCGCAGACATTGAGATGGAATGAGGATAGACATATAGTACTCCGTTATATTCTATTGTTTCAACCCATTCATTTGGTGACTGGTGTTGCTATTTCGTTTTAAAATACAAAGTAAGATTTTGATTTGATTTATTTACATTTTGTAAAATAATATTTTGATGATTAATATTTATATTTATTTGCAAGTAATTTTTTTAAAAATATAATGTTTTTAAATTGAATTTGAAGATAAATCAAATGATATTCAATTTAAATCATTATTCAATATATTTTTTCTTTAAAACTCTGTTTGGTACACGAAATTCAATTCTATTATTTGGTAATAAAAAAAAATGGATTTAGAATTGGTAGTACAAAAAATGAATTGAAATTGAAGAACTGAATCTCATCAAATTCAAATCTTTAAAATTCTAATTCTAATTCAATTCTAATTCCGCTAATAATTTCAATTTCGCCAATTCCATGTATCAAACGGAATATAAATTTTGTAGTTCAGAACTTAAAATTATTCAAATTAGACCTATAAAATACACTCTATATCCCATTTTTTTCATTTTAGTTTTATTGGTTAATGTAGTTCACGTTGACATCGATATACCAAAAAAATGTATTATATCTTCTATATTATATAAATGGGAAGGAGGGTTAGATACCCTTTAAAAAGATGCACTTTTTCCATCCATTTCTTTTGTACACCGTGCTTAAAAAGTTGTACATTTACTTTTTCTCCCAAAAATATCGAAGAATTTATGGAAAAGGGTAGAAAAAGGTTGGAATTTATGAGAATGCCTTCCTAGATCTAACAGAGATTCGCGTGAGGCGCGTCCGCTCTACTTGTGTAAAGTGAGAGGAAATGACAGAAAGGCCCTTCAACCAAGAAACAAAACGTCACTGTTTATTACCGTTACTTCAAAAATTAAACGGAAATATTAAAATTAACGACGAGCCGTTAGGTTGCCTTCGAAGCGTCAAGATGATTTCTAGAAAGGTCAAACGGCGTCATTTGAAGCGCCAACCCCTCCTTAATACCCCGACCAGTCTTCGGAAACGATACGCCTTCATCAATCGAAACTCTTCTGCTCTTCGTTCTACATTGCTTACCATCGTCGGATACCTTCAAGAACTACCACACATCTCTTTGCCATGGAGAACACCGGAGCAAGTAGCGGGTTCCAGTACAAGAGAAGAAGAATTCTAACCCAAACACAAAGGGAGGAGATGGAGAATGAAAACCAGGTATTTTCAAATAATCCTTTATTATAATAAAGGAGACTCGGATGCACGAGAATGCGACATTTGGCACGCCTATTTGGCAAAAAATGGAACACATCATCAAGCCATGTAATAATAGAAAAAATCCTTTAATATAATAAAAGAGACTCGGATGCACAGAAATTCAACATTTGGCATGTCTATGTGGCAAAATTAAAACATGTCAGCACGCCACGTAATATCCAAGTAAACCAGCGGAAATAAATTATATACGATGCACCAGCGGATTTCCTGTTGGAAACAATTGACCGCAGATTTTCTACGCGATAATCACTGGCCTTCAACAAAATTCTTTCCTTCAGATTACAACAATACGAACTCCTATTATGATGATAATATAAAATATATAATATTTTTCATTTAATTTAAATGGAATTTTAGGACCATGCTACATATATTAATCCTTTATCTTACTTCCATATTTAAAAATTACATACTTAAATAATAAGTTACAAAGGTTTATTGTGGAAATTCGTGTATAATAAGAGTTAAAATCAATAGAGTACCTATAATACTAGAAATTAGAATATTTTTTTTTACAAAAAAAATATATTAAGAAACAATCCTAAATAATACTAAATTTGAAAATGATGATCACGAATATATTACTCATCACCTTTCTTATATTATTTATGTTGGATAATACTAATATTATTTTGGATCCGTTTACTTAGATATAGAAATCCTTAATTATGTGTCTTGGATAATCAATAATATTATACGTTAATATATGTTTTCAGATTACAATAATACGAACTCCTATTACGAGGATAATATAAACAATTAAAAATAAATACGAAAAAATATAAATACTATTTAAAAAATAAAAAATAAAAATTATAATTTTCAGTTAACTTAAATAGAATTTTAGAACCATGCTACATATATTAATCCTTTATCTTACTTTCATATTTATAAATTTCATACTTAAATTAATAAGTAACAAAGATTTATTAATGGAATTTTCTGTATATATAGGTTGAAATCAATAGAGTACCTATACTAATAGAAATTCCAATATTATTTTTGATTCCTTACTTATTTGTCTTAATTCCATGAGTATATATTATTGATCACCTTACTTATATATGGTCATTAACAAAATTTACGGAAAATCTTATTAAGAAACAATCCTAAATAATACTAAATTTGTAAATTATGATCACAAGTATATTATTCATCACCTTACTTATATTATGTATCTTGGATAATACTAATATTATTTTCGATATCTTTACTTATATATGGCAATCCTTAATTATGTATCTTGGATAATCAATAATATTATATGTAAATATCTGTATTGAGATTACAACCATACGAACTCCAATTACGATGATAATATAAAAAATTAAAAATAAATATGAAGAAATATAAATACTATTTAAAAAATAAAAAAAGAATATTTTTAATTAATTTAAATAGAATTTTAGGACCATGCTACATATATTAATCCTTTACTAAGGAATTCTCACCATAATAAAGTCATTCCTAAAATACAAAAGGTAAGTAAATAATTAAATGTGAAAGTATCCTAATACGGACGTGCACTAGAAAATGATTCATGCATAGCCATGAATGGTATGATATGATTTGAAGAATAGATTGCTTCCTTAACATATGGTGATTGACAAAATTTACGAAAAATATTATTAAGAAACAATCCTAATAAATAGTACTAAATTTGAAAATTATGATCATGAGTATATTATTCATAACCTTATTTATATTATGTTTGTTGGATAATACTTATATTATTTTGGATCCCTTTACTTATATATGGCGATCGTTAATTATGTATCTTGAATGATCAGTAATATTATTCTAGATTCGCTTATTTTTAGTAAGAAATTCGTTATATCTAGAATGGACCCAATACTATTTTGAATTCCTTACTTATATATCTAACTGGCAATGAGTTAAATTACTCACTTTTATATCCAAATTTATGGAAACTCTTATATACTTGGGTCAAAATCCTATTATAAAAAGAGATATATAATGAGTTGAAATGTGACATCCATCACCCATTTTCATTTTCCATTTCAACACATAGGCATTCAGAATTAATTATGCAATAAATAAGTGGAGAATCGTTAATTCAACTTCAACTTTTTGTTTTTAAAAGGATTGGTGGTAGGAACATCCTATTTTTCAATTTCAATTGGGGCTATGGAAAATCAATTATAATCTGCATCCGTAAAAAAATTAAACGTCGTTCATAGGTTGCATAGAAATCATGGATAATTAAAATGTATAATTGTTGATTTATCTAGGTATGCATATAGGCTATAGCTCACTGATTATTTTTTATCAATTTTATATTTACATCAATAGGAATAAAATGATGTCTAACCATGACGCTTTAATTTCATTTTTCTATATTTTTTATGAAAAAATAGTTTATACATATTGAATATTTTAGAAAATTGAATGGGCGAATATTAACAAAGTTGAGTAAAAATATATTCGTATTTAAAATCTTTTAAATAATTCAAAACTTTGCAATAAATTTGATATGAAATGGGTGAATATAAAAAAATGTGAGTACATATTTTAAAACAAAATGATATGTCTGCGAGGAAAAAAAATTAGGCATTGATACGGAATGATCAATGTAAATAATTCAAAGTTCAAATATAATTTTTAAATTGGAAAATTTACTTATATCTAACATGTAATTCATTTATCAAAATGGCAACTAAGCTGTGTTCAACTGAAATAATTGATACTCCATATATATATATATATATTCATAGTCAGAGGAATTTACCTAAATAACACTAAAACATAATGACTTTCCCTAAATAGCAACATATGTTTTTTATTTCTCAATGTAGCACTTTTAGTCATTATCTATTAGTCATTATTTAGACAAATGTTCACCGTCACCGGATATTATTTCTCCTTCTAGACATTATTAAGTGTTATTTAAGGGATAAAAAGTTTAAGTCTTATTTTGGGAAATGACTTTTGTTTTAGTGTTATTTAGTGCAGATATGAAAAATAAAAAATTTGAAAAATTATATTGGGAAAAAGTTTGAAAAATGAAAAATGAAAATTTTGAAAAATGAAAAATGAAAAATGGAAATGACTTATGTTTGAAAATATGAAAAATTATTCTTTTATGAGGATAAAGCACCATTGGCACCAACTCTCGAAGTAGTTGAAATGATAAATGAATTTGTTCTGTCCCTCATTCCTGGTGATGAAAAGGAGTACTTGAGTTCTGATTCTTCGTGCCAAGCAGAAGCAGATGTAGGTGTTGATGGCGATTGGATAACAGTTGAGTTTTTGAACAAAATCAAATGTTTGGGAATCCCAAACCACAAAATAGTCTTGAAAAAAGGGGTACCGATTATGCTATTGAGAAACATTGACCAAACATCTGGATTGTATAATGGGACAAGATTAATCGTTCAAGAGCTGCGAAATAATGTTATCGGTGCAATTGTGGTTTTGGGAAATCGAGTCGGGGAAAAAGTTTACATCCCTAGAATGAATTTGGTACTATCTGATCTAGGGCTACCTTTGAAGTTCCAAAGAAGATAATTCTTGATCGCCTCATGTTTTTGATATAACAATCAACAAAAGTCAAGGTCAAACATTGTCATTTGTGGGATTATTTTTAACCAAGTCAGTGTTCACACATGGTCAACTATATTTTGTTGTTTCACGAGTGAAGACAAAGACCGGATTAAAAATATTAGTTCCAGATGACAATAGAAACTCTTGCAATCATACTAAAAATGTTGTATACCCCGGAATCTTTCAGAAAATATGGTATTAAAATAAACATTGTTAACTCTACATTCTGTTCCTCAAATATTATTTATTTTACTTTGGCTTTTTTCATTTGTAGTATTAAAAATCATGTGAGCAATATATTTACTTTATTCTGAAAAATAAATTTCATTAAAATAAATTTAGAATCGACATAAATTTCTTTCGACCCCGTGCATGGCACGGGTCAAAATACTAGTT